CACCGAAACCTTGTACAAGACGAAGATCAACTACGTGACCAAGCACCTGTCCAAGTACCACACCCAGTACCAGACCCGGTACGCGACCGACGTGCAGTACGTGCCTAAGTACGTCACCAGTACCCACTACCACACCCATTTCCAGACGCAGGTGAGGTATAACACGGTCTACGCCACCCAGTATACCCCGGCTTACGTCACGCAGACTCAACTCCAGTACCAGACTCACTACGAGACGAAATTCGCACCACAGTACGTCACAGTCGCCAAGGAACAAATTTCGTACAAGACGTATTGTCCCAAACCTGCTTATGGACACTAAGATCTCTCTGGGGTTCGAATGATGTTCTTTTGTTTTGTCGACATTGGATGGTTTGTTCTCCGGAATGTTCTCTCGGATGTTCTTCATACGTTGGGATTTGTGAACTTGTATGTCTTTGTAAATGTATCCATTTTTTCTTACTTTTTTTTTCTCTCTCTTTTTTAACCAATGTTTTTTTAAATTCGTTTTGACTATCACTCTAAAACTGTCTACATATCTCGTTATTTATCTATTTTCTTCTCTTTTTCTAGTTCTCATTTTCCCGTTACTTTCCAAATCTACCTTTCTCTATTTGTTTTGAATTCCCAATCGTTCGTGTCTTTTTAACACCCACTTATCTTTTATATATAAACATTCCAAACATTTTCTTTCACCACTACATCTCTTATTTCTTTAATTATCAATTTTCCTTGTGTCTCCCCTCTCTTTCTCCCTCTCTCTCCCCCCTCCCTTCGCCTGGAAATTGTACCAAATTTGAAAATACTTTATATATGTAAAATTGTACAGTCCCTAACCAATGGCGTAAGTTATACAGCATAAACAAAAAATATATTTTTGCACGCAAGACTTGGCTTATGTATTATAAGTGTTTTAATAAAGAAATATCCTTATCATGTGATTGTATGGTTTTAGCCTAATTTTTTTTTCTTATAAGTTTATGAAAGAAAAAAAGAAAAAAAAAAGAAAAAACCTATATGTTAACTCAAAGATCAAGATTTTCCTATCGTTATTAATCATATTTCCTTTATCAATTATTTTTAGCGATTTATTTAGGATTTTAACGCATTTTCGCAAAATAAAGAAAAAAAATATGAAAAAGATAGTCTGAAAGTAAACTAATTGCAAAAGAGAAAAAAAAATATGAAAAGATAGTCTGAATGTAAACTAAATGCAAAAGAAATTTTATAGTACGATAAATGTTTTTATTTAGTGTAAAGGAAAGCGATTAAACATGAAAGAAATGATTGTAGAAAAAAAGCTTTATTGTAATAATAACTTCAAACAAAAGGTCGGTGAAATCTCTTTAAAAATCTGAATCAATCACAACTTTTCACATATATATATATATATATATATATATATATATATATATATATATATATATATATATATATATATATATATATATATATAAATCAACCCAGTGGCAGTTTACATTTCTTTTTTACGCACCGTAATCTTATGCTTCATTTTACGTTGAGATAACCGGTAAAAGACTGATATTTTTTCTTTTGGAATCATGGAAAAGAATGACAAAGAGGTACAGGGAGAGAGATACAATGAGAGAAAGAGAGAGAGACAAGGAGAAATAGAGAATGAATATATATCTCTATATATCTATATATCTAGCTAGCTAACTAGTCATCTATCTATCTACCTATCTCTCTATCTATACTCACACATAATAAACAAACAAATAAATAAATAAATAAATAAATATATATACATACATACATACATACATATATATATATATATATATATATATATATATATATATATATATATATATATGTGTGTGTATGTATATATACATATATATGTATACACTCACACAAACTAAATGATGTAATTCGCTCATCAGAAAAGGACATACAGATGAAAAATGAAAAATGAATGAATACAACCCAAATGCAACTCAAAGACCGACGTACTGATTGTAAGATGATGAAAAAGAAGCATGATAATAATAATAATAATAAAAAAAAGTATATATATATATATATATATATATATATATATATATACACACATAACTATGACACTGCGAATATAATTTTTTTCACATTCTATTTCCTCATTTTGTTTCCATATATTGTCATATCAAATGCTTTCATTGAGCTGTTATTTACCCTCATCAGTCACAATAAACTCTAGCCTAACATTCTTGTTCTTTTGATATAATTTATCTAACTAAGGATCATTAGAATAAAAGTATTTGTTACATACGAGACATACAACAGAGATAAAATCATATGTCTTAATTAACGTCTATGTATGTTTACCTTATTCTCTAGGAAATTAAACAGCTGAGGAAACTTTTTGTTATAGAAGTTTATTTTTTGAAAAAGTAATTTGATTTTACTTATGCTGTTACATGAGACAGATGTGATTTGATTAACATAAGGATTACTGTTAATAAACTTATGATTTAATTGTTATCGTCAAGTAATAGGTATTCATTTACGTTTGAGGTTTATATCAATAATACGATGTATATATTCATAAGCTTCTACGTATCACAATAGCAAATATCTAAAATTGCTTAGATGCAATTAGATATATGTAATTGCAAATAAATATTATGATAAACAGATTCATACAACTACGCATAAAAACATAAAACACATAACTACAATAGGCCGCTAAGAAGTAAATAGACAAAGAATGAAAAATGCTGCCAACCCCCCCACAAAAAAAAAAAAAAAAAAATCGTTTTTTTTTTTTTTTTTTTTTTTTTTTTTTTTTTTAAAGGGAACACGAAATACAAAAAGACAAACCTTCCTTGAAGCGAATAGCAACGGAACCTGTACTCTTTAGACACCAGTGAGTGCTTCCGTGGCATTCAGCGAAGAAAGTTAAGGATGTTTTAGTATGCCTTGTGCGCGTGTAAGATTTGTTACTCGCGTGTTCAAAAAGCTAGAATGGGTTTCTATTTCTTCTTCCTCTTCCCTTTCTTCTTACCTCTTTCTTTCTTTTTTATTCTTCTGTTTGTTATCCTTATTTATTTCTATTTTGTCTCGTATTTTTTTCTCTTGTTCTTCTTATTCTATGTCTTCTCCTTTCCTTCTTTTTTCTTTTTGTTATTATCTTCTTCTTCTTCTTCCTTCGTGCTTACATATATGCACATGGAAATATATGTAAGTGTGTGAACCATTATAATCACAGTGACTTCGTAGATGTATCCCGCTAAAAGTAAAATTAGATAAATAGAGATAGATAGATGAATAGATAGATAATCAGATAGAGAGATGCACAGACAAACGATCAGACAGAAAGATAAAAGGTAGACAGATAGAGAGAGGGGAAGAAGGAACGATAATGACATACCCATTATCATTAATATCGTAACCACAGAGCGTGTATTTATTCATTTATATTTTGGACTTCTGAATTGTTGACTTGGAAATAAATCGAATAATTTTTTTTATGGATCTTTATTCAGCCATCATCGTCATCGCTAAATCAACAATGACTTCTATTAGTACTACCATACCTCCTACCCACTAATGCTACGACTACCACAACTGTTATTGTTGTTTCAACGACTGATATAGCTTTGTAACTGATACTGTTACTATTATCAAAGTGAACAGGTATGTGGGTATTCATTGTATTAGGTAGATTATATTAATGAAATTTGTACTAGTCTTGATATTGTAGCTGTTACTACTACTACTACTACTACTAGTGCTACTACTACTAGTGCTACTACTACTAGTGCTACTACTATCTGCGACTACTATGACTAGTACTTCTACTAGTACTATCACTACTATGACTACCACTACTACTAATGCTACTACCATTAGTTTGCTGCTACTTCAACTATTGCAAAAGCTATCGTCGAATTTCCTCAGCCTAATTAACACCCCCCCCCTCTTTTTCTGACAGCATCTCCATCACCTGGTCCGCCAAGCAATTGCAAAAGGAGAACAGATTGCCAAACAGAAAAACAATGAACGCACCCCCCCAACCATACACATACGCACCAAAGGAAAGGGGAGCTATTGCTATTACTACTATTACTATTACTACTACTGCTCTTGGTACTGATGCCACTACTACTACTACTACTACTGTTACTACTACTGCTATTATTACTGCTGCTACTATTACTATTGTTATCACTGCTACTATACTACTACTACTATTACTACTACTACAACTACCACCACTTCTAATACAACTATTACTACTACTATTAATACTATTACTACCACCACTACTACTACTATTACTACCACCACTTCTACTCCTACTACTACGATTACTATTACTTTTACTACTACTATTACCACTACTATCACTACTATTATTACCACTACTATTACTATTACGATTACTACCACCACTACCACTAACAATATCAATGAAAAAAAAACAAACAAACGGACAAACCGAAGCCCAACACAGCTCGCCAGACAAAAGCCACTGGAAACGAACGCTGAGGCAAAGGTCGCTCGCCATCCATTTTACCTTCACAGTTGAATCGTCCGAATGATTTTGACTCAAGAGCGATGACGAAGGGAAATAAAAAGATAATCTGAATGATGGATGGGGGTTGCCAGAAACGCAACTTCGCCTAATTAAGCATGAGAGATGGAAGGAGGAAAAAAAAAAGAAAGAAAAAAAGAGAGAGAGAGAGAGAGTGGGTGTGCATAGTTTGATTTTTTTAAAGTATTGGTGCGTGGTGATGTGGGTGATTTGCTTGTTTGATTGTGCTTTTTTTATCGGGAGGGGGGGGGGTCTGTGTTAGATTGTTGGTGTAAAGTAATAATTTTAATATTCTATTTTGTTCGTAACAAAGGGTATATACAAATTTACAAATCTAAACACTAACGGAAAGTAAAAAAAAACTAAAAAAACACGACACACACACACACATATATACATACTGTATATAAATATATGCATATATATATATATATTATATATAAACTAAGGACAATATCGT